CCCCCCCCCGCCATGTCTGTCTTATGTGTGCTTCTCTGACACCCTTGCCTGATACTCTATGAATTTCCACATAAAACCCAGGACTCCAGCATCCAAATGTGCTCCATGCACAAAAACAGCTTCTTATAATCAAGCAGGGCAAGAGCTTCTTCACAATTCACTCCTTGCCCAAATGCATAGATTTTATTTTCTACGTACTTTCAAAAACAGGTAGAAAGAGAGCCTGGATTTGTGCACAAGCATCGACAGGAACTGAGGTGACCAGGTGTTGCCACTAAGAGCAACTCCCTGCAGGAAGAGCACAGGGCCTTTCCTCTCCATGACGTCTGAGTTTCCTCCCGAAGGTGAGGACCATGATTTCCACTTTTCCTTTCCTAGGCCAAAGTCCAACATGGTGCCTCTCGCATCCCCAGCACTGTGTGATGAGGTTCTTGGTCCAAGTGGCAGGGGGGCTGTGAAGGCAGAGCTCTGTGAAATGTCCCATGCAGGTGTCTGACTCATTGTTTACTGTACCTCTTTGCAAATAGGCAAACTGTAAGGAATAGGGAAAGCAGATGTTACTAGAACTTCTGCATTAAGTCCTAGTCTCCCGCAAGCCACAGCAGCACAAGATGAATTAATTAATATATAGACAAAAAATGAGACTTAGAGAAGCTGAGCTTTGGCCTGATCAATGCTGCTCTGGGCAGCAAAGACCCTGGACCCGGAGCTTGCCACACCTTTATTCAGTACAGCAGCAGGAACAAAAGTAGCAATTGACTCAGAGGGGGAAGAGATGATCCGAGAACAATGAGGAGCTATGCAGATGAAGGTTTGGCTCCAGCGGGTGTAGTCCTGCTCTGGAGCATCAGAGCATCACTGCACCATTGAGGTCTTAGGTGTGACTGGAGATGAAAACAGAGTTATAGCTGGACTTGCTGTAGCTGGCCTGTAGACAGGAAAACTAGGCCCTAATCATGATTTAATTACGAAATGATTTTTCCCCAAAATCATGTAGAATTGCTCCCGACAGCAAATCTTTTACCAAATATATAGAGAGAAACATAAACCATAATACCACCACTTCCTAAGTGTTCTGGCTGAATCATACCTTCTGTGCTCAGCACCATGAAGAGCTGATTCTTTGTAGGTGAGCTCATCAGTGCAATAAAGCTTTACAGTGCTGCCCATCAGTGACTGGGGTGGTGTACCAATCCTTACAATGCCCCGTTCAGAGGTGTTCCCTGAAAGCCCGCACATGAAGGCCTGGTGGCCAGCTGGAGGCGGGGCCTGGAGGAAGGAAGTTAGGTACCTAGGACGGGCCCGGAAGGGCTGTTGGGCCCTGACCACATCCCACCTCACTCTTTACCTCCCAGCCGCCATGAGCTGAAGAGGCCTCCTCTGTGCTCTGCCACTGTGTTCTTGGCCACCACAGGTCCAGAGCACCAGAGCCAACTGACCATGGCCTGAAACCTCTGGAATCCTGAGCCAAAATAAGTTCTTCCTTATAAGTGGAGTGCGTCGGGTCTTTTGCCATGGTGACAGAAAGCTGACAACACACAGCAACACAACATCTCAGTAAGGCTGTAGATCCTGCAGCTGGCCTGCAGAGGACGCAAGAACATCCCCCGCTCAGTCACAGGCCCAGGTTGGCCCCCAGAGATGCTTCCTCAGACCTCTTCCAGCCTCTTATATCGGGGTCGCCTGGGAGCTTTAAAAACTGCTGCTGCCTGTGCCCTGTCCCCTGGGACTGCAGGTCTTCAGAGTGGGGGTGGCCAGTTCCCGGCGGGTTCCACTATGCAGCCAGGGTGGAGAACCTCAGCTCTAGGCTGTGACCTGGAAATGCCCAGGGCGCCTTGGGACAGCAGCACCACAGCCCCAGAACGGCTGCGGCAGAACCTGCATTCACGGGAGCCCAGCGCTCCCGGCACCAGTAAAGTCCCGGCATCTCCCATGCTGTCTAGGCACCGTGGCCACTGCTGAGCCTGGGACCTCAATGGCCAGGATCTAAACTACCTCAGATTGCTTTCTCAGTGGGGCCCAACACTTGGCATGGGAGGCTTATTCTGGACTTTGCCGCCAACCTCCTGATTCCCTCTCCAGGAATCTGCCTTTTTAATGGCGGCTCATTCCCGAGTGACTCTTACACGAAGTTTGAGAATCACCCATGCATGGCTTCTTCCTGGCTCTGGAATCATTCTCTCCTTGAAAAGCAGCCAGAGCTGATGGCATTTAGCCTAAAACAGCCTAGAGGAAACCTATTACTCTCTAAAGAAAAATACATGATCTCTTCTTTTGCCCTCTGAATTACTGAAGCTAGTCTTTCCCCTGCCTATAGATCTTCATTGTCCGGTTCAGATTTCCCAAGAGGGGCTTCTGACTTTGTTTCTGTCTGTCACCCACTAGGACTCCCCACCCTCACCTGGAAACTTCCTAGGGCAGCTCTGCTCCGCCAAGGAAGGCAGCTCCAACCACTGAGGAGCCCTGAAGTGCAAACAGCAGTCCTCAACTCTGCTATGAATTCCCTGTGTTTCACTAATGCAGCTAGAGTCTATGTTCTCTTCTCACAAAGCTGCACATCCAGTTAGCTCAATGTTAAGCTTCTGCTCAACCACAGTGCCTATGTGCCTCCCCCAGGGCCACCCCCAGATGCCAGTGCCATTCCTATACTTTGCCAGTGATTGTTGAACTGGCTTGCAAGACTTAAGTTTTAATCCAAATACTGTACATTTCATCCCAGTAACCCCTGTCCGGTTTCAGCCAACAAAACATTTCTGATTGCTGGTCCTGAGTAGAATGAACAGTCAGAAAAACCTAGATTCAAGTCTGAGCTTCATAACTTTGGTTCAGAAGCTTATTTTTCATCGATAAAATGGATGTGATAATAGCACCTACACATTTTATAGGATTATTGGGAGGATTCAATAAAATACAAAAAGCACCTAGTAAAATATAAAGCTGTTAATGTGGGTTACTAGTGAAAGTCTCTCCAAGCTGTGAATAGTCTCTAAAAAATAAAGTTCTTTCATTCACTCATTCTGCCTACCACTCTCCCATATCCAAAGCTCTCTGAAAAACAAAATCTGTCCTCTCTGCTACCATCTTGGCCCATTCTAGTTTGGTTTCGTCCCGATGCAGTTGCTGCCTTCTGTCAAGGATAGGAAGAGAAACCCAGTGTGAAAAAACAGTGAGACCAAGGGTCTGGATGGTTCTCTAGAAACCAACTGCAGGGAAGTAGAGAAAACCAGAAAGTGTCAAAGTGTACAGCTTCTCTCTCCAAGAGGAACTTAAAATTGCTGTGGTCATTGGACTTCTGGTCAGCCAGGGTTCCCACACTGCGGGTACATGCCCGAGACACACGACGTGACAGACCTCACTCAGGCGACCTGGTCTCTCTTGTTGCCCACAAAGCCCTCAGAAGGGCTGGGGTGCAGCTCAGGGATGAGTGTCCAACAAGCCTACAAGAGGCCCTGGTTCATCTCCTCTACAGGAAAAAATAAAAATAAAAAAGTCCTATGAACTCAGTTGTATAGATCCTTCCAGGAGAGGCTGATTTCTGAAATAGAAATAATAAGAACACACTCTCAGTTTCAACTCTGAGTTCTTCTCTACACCCCACCCCACTCTAATCTGTTCCTCCAAATTGTCAGGGCTGACCTAGGAGCAATCTCTAAAGGAGGAGCCCAAGTTGGGTCCCCAAAGGCCAAGAAACACTTGGTAATTTTCACCACACTCCTTTCCTAGATACCTCCAGGTGACTTTCCTGACAGAATCTTTGCTCATTTGCATGATTTAAAAATTAGAGAGGTAGCTGGAGATTTAGCTCAGTGGCTCCAGCACCTGCCTCACAAGTGCAAGGTCCAGAGTTTGATCCGAGGTATCAAAAAAAAAAAAAAATTAGACAGGGTGAGGATTTTAAAATACATACTTATCCAAAAGACCAATCATAGCACAGACCTGAGCAAACAGATGGGCAAGGCATTCAAGGATTAAAAGCACTCAAACGACTCAAGTAACAAACACCTAATATTTATTAATAAATTAGTACACTTGAAGGCATTTTTCTGATATCAGTCTCTCACCACTACCCGAAAACCCCGCCAGCACAAAGGGAGGCCACACAACCTCTATTTTAGAACCTGGCCACTGAGCATTAGAGGGTAGGTTTATAAGGGCGCACAGTTGCAAATATATCAGATAAGAGTTCTTATAGCTGTAGCCATTTTTAATTATAGTGACTGATGGAGGAGACCCAACAAGACCAAGGCCTGAGGGCAGACTGGAGCTATTGACTATGTTTGTATAAAAAACAAGACATCTTTGAAAGCAAAGCTGGGCAAATTCTATGGAAAACATGCCCCTGGCACTTGAGTTGGACTTTCCAAAGTGTGGCAATGTGTTCCAGAACAACTCAATCCCTAAAAGATGAAGTTCAAGTTCTTTGGGGGTCCAGATGACAAGCCACTGAAATAGCAAGTCCTGATGGCTTGAGGATAATCATTTCTCCAGCCCAGAGCGTGTTAGCGTGAAGAGGAGCATGAGGAATCAGGCATTCTACACAGTGTCCAGGTGAAAACCATTCGGTCTGCAATAGTGTGGTCAAGTTTCAGCTATGAATGTGAAGTGTGCGACATAGAATATTGAGAAGATAATTCAAGGTGTGATTGTGTTACAGTAACTCAACAGGATCTCAGATCTCCTTAATCCCTAAGAACCTTTGTGAAGGGCAAACAATAATAAAAATAGCAATAATGTATTTTTTTTTAAAATGTAGACATAGATGTTGAAAGATAAGAAGACTGCTTATAGAATCCACAAGATGCCATTACACTTTAAGAAGAGCTTCACAATCCAGTGTGTAGGAAGTCACACTGCATTTACGGTCAGTTATGTGAATTTAAAGTGCACAGAACAATTTGGAAAATACATAAGGCGGCAAAAACAGAGAGAACTGGAACTTATAAAAATTTACTGGTGGGTATTTTGCAATAGTTATACTTTGCAAGGGGTTATAAACTAATTTCCCAGAGATTTAGGAAAAAAAAAAAAAGAAGAAAGAAAAAAACAAGGAGAGAAAAGAAAGAACTCGTACACTGGCCATAGACTGTTAAACACACACATACACCAAAACCTGAAGTAGAAACCAAACGAAACCACCCTGCCACCAAGTCAGTCTGCAGAGCGCAGTGCCGGCATGTTCTACAACAGGTCGGGAAGGTGGCTGTACACAGAGTCCAGCAGCGTCTGGCTGGCTTCTTGGCTCTTGACGCCGATGATCTCGAACAGCCGGTCTAGCTTGTCCTCGGCCTGGGGGATCTCTTCAATCACCCGCAGCTCCTCGGGGTTCAGGATGTGCAGCATGTCGTCAAAGATGGGCTGCAAGTCGCAGGGGTCCAGGCGCACCTGCCGCAGCACCGTGTCCTTCTTCTCTGCGGGGACCAGATGGAGGGGAGGGAGGAGATGAAGGGGGCCGTGCTGTGGGCAGGGGCTGCCTACCCTCTCCCCAGCCTCCCCTGCCTGGTGTGCCAGTAGCACTCCGTCTGGCACAGAATAGACAGCGTGGGAGTTTGCACCTGTGTGGCACCCAAGATGGGTGGCAGAGGCATCATTAGGATGGCACGTTAACGTCTAGACTTAAAGGACTTCTAAGTTCTTCTAAACCCAGAGAAGTGTTGTGATACCTTTATCAGGTTTTCCATCTGCAATGTGTCTACTAAACAAAGATATCCACTGGCCCAAAGTCCCAAGCTAGAGCAGCCTGCTTGTCGGACTTAGCAAAGCTTTGAACTCTGAGAGAATAGAAGCACAGAAGCCCGAAAACACTGCTTCCTGGGTCATGCCTTACACTGGGGGGAGGAACTGTAACTCTCTCTACCCTATCTGTAACAACAACTAAATTACAATATAAATATTTTATATAAATGAACAATAGGCTAACATAAATATGTAAAGTGCTTACTATAAGATATTTTATAAATATATGCATAAAATATAATCCTTCCACTAAAATCTAAATGGAATTGCCCCTAAACTAGGCACTTTCTAATAAAAACCTGTCATCAAAACAGTGTGGCTCAGGCCGGGGATTTAGCTCAGTGGTTCCGCCATCTGCCTTGAAAGCATAAGGACCTGAGTTCGATGCCCGGTACCAAAAAAAAACAGCAGTGTGTCTCCCAATTCCCTACCCTATAATTCCAAGGCAAAAGTGGTAAATTATTTACCAAAGGAAACAATGCAATATGTTTAAAACACTATTTTCAATCTAACAGCATGCACATTAGGATCCATTTAAGTCGGTAAAATTGTCCTTTCAACTCTCAAGACCGATTATACTTTAAATATTTGGATCCAAGGCTGGTAAATAATTTCCAAAAAACCTGCAGGACTACATTTTCTGCCTTTCATAAAACGCCTCAGATAGCACTGTGACGGTAAAGGTGATCCTACAGGCTGTGGTACAGTCAAGTTTCCTAGGCATGTCCACCTCAGCGAGAGACATCACCCTCCAGACAGGGTCAGCTCGGGGGCCAGGGCAGGCTGTCCAGGACCGGGCTGGTGGTGGTCGTGGGACCGAGGCAGCTGGGCTTGTTGCCCTGGGGGCCGCCGCCTGCCGCTCCTACCTTTGGTAATGAAGGAGCCTGTCCTGCTCAGCGCCGAGGACCCACTGGACGTGGAGTCGCAGCGGAGCAGGGGCTCAGACTCATCCACGAAGAAGCCCTTGGTCTTGTCCAGGGGTGACGGCTCCACCGTGAGGAGCGTGGCGTTGTTCTCCAGCCTCCCGCTGGGGTCGGGGTTAGGGCTCGCCACCGGGCTGGGGCTCATCGGGAGGGCCAGTTTGTCCACTTCCAGCTGCAGGAGGCAGAAAACAGTTTAAAGATAATCACTGTATACACATCAGAAGTTATATAGGTATAAAAGCAGTGAAATTAAATCCTTTTTCAGACATATTTTTGTTCCATTTAGTATTTTTTACTTCTCCTGTTTTGATTGTCTATAACATTCATGTTATTGCTGGATAGACATATTTTAAAACTTCAGCCAGGTGTAGTGGCACACACCTGTAATCCCAGCACTTCAGGGGCTGAGGTAGGAGGATTGCCATAAATTTGAGGCCAGCCTGGGCTATGTAGTGAGTTCAAGGGCAGCTTGAACTACATAGCGAGAACTTGTCTCAAATAAATAAATTAAATTAATTAATACACTTCAAAAATACATGTGGGCATAGGTATATTAAAAATCAGAAGCCTGGCGCAGCACGCCTACTTCCCAGCTCCTCAGGAGGCTGAGGCAGGAAGATTATGAGTTTGAGGGATGAGGCCAGAACCCACCTCCCCCTAAAATTAATCAGTTAATCAATTCTTACAAAGGAAGGATCAGGAAGCATTCACACTTAGTTGTTGACTGAGGGTGTGGAACTGGTCACGGGTGTGAAGAGGAAAAACCCTAATATAAGATACAGTTTTGTAAACCTGGAAGGGGCCTTGGGTATTATCTAGTAGAGTCTCCTGGCTTAGCAGCTGAACGGTGCCCCTACAAATACCTCTGTCAATGCCCTAAGCCCCAGGCCTTCCCACTGGGCCTGTATTTGGGGACAGAGTCATTACAGACGTTAAGATAAAATGAGTCCATCGGGGACAGCTGTACCACGAGATGACTGCTTCCTCAGGAAAGAGCTGGAGAGGCAGACACGCACCATGAAAGCCCTGAGGACACCATGAGAAGGCACTGTCCGCCCCTCGAGGAGGGAGGGAGGTCTGAAAAGACACCGCCCTGCCCACACCACAGCCAGGAAGTGAGCACACACTGTGCAGGGCCCGCCTCTGCAGAGCACCTCCCTCCTGCACAGCGGGGACGCAGAGCCCTGGGAGGTGGGTGGCTTCTCACACGAGGCCACTGGGAAGGAGCAGGACTAAGGCCACACGCCAGGTTGCTGACTCCAGCTCCAAATTAGCTCTGGGGAACAGGAGGGCCCAGTGGGGAAGTGGGGAGGGGAGGGGATCTCAGCCAAGGAACTGTGGAGTGGCAGCAACAGGACAATAAATGATGAGAAAACAAAGAAAGGAGCGGGTTCAGGAGGGGACAGTAAGCTCCACGTCACGCTGGCTGGGCTGTGAATCATGGACGTGGGAGGGGGAATCGAAGGCAGGGCCTGAGTGCAGGTTCTGTCCCAGGGTGCAAAGTGACTGCAGGTGCAAAGACCGAGTTCCCGAGAGGGCCCAGGGCTGGGGAGAAAGGCTTTGCTCAGGTGCGTCTGGGGGAAGCCTCTGGGGGCCCTTGGGAAAACACTTTAAAAGCCCAAGGACACAGGCCGTGGCTTCATCTTTTGATTGGCTCTCATCACATGGACGGAAATCGGGGAATCAGGAGGCCTGGCCACCCAGGGCAGAGTCCCGGAAGAAGTGTGCATATTCCAGAGCTGCTGATCCCACTGCTTGAGCCCCTGGCCTGCACTTTTATGCTCAGGGGAGACGTCTTCAACCTCTTAAAGCAAGACCCTGACTCTCACTCTGAAGCACAGCACTGAAGAGTTGTGTGAGACCCAAACCCAATACCCACCTTGAACACCATGAAGCCCCTGTGGCCTGCAATCATCAACCTCCCGACCACTCCCCACTCCCCACACCCTGCTCCCCTCCTAGGCAGCCTCGGGCTGGGGTGCTGTGCATCCCCAGAGGCCCCTCCTCACCTAGATGTCTAATATGTGCTTTCAAATTCCTAATTCAATTGGCCCTGGCATGTTCCCTCCCTCTCTGCAGCGCACATGGCTACTTGTGCCAACACACGTTTGTTACGCACTCAGGGAGACAAAGAGTGCTTGTCTGGACTCCAGCTCTCAGGGGTATCACCCTGGAAGACATGGTCCATCAACACAGTGCACTGTTCTGGCTTAAAAAAGAAATTCCCACCCACACATCACATGCCACAGACTAAGAAGTCCACCCACCTATTTCCTGAACTCATTTCAAAACTTTAAATCTAATTTAAATCCCACCCCCATCATTTCACCAAAAAGTTTGATCGGTGGAATCAAACACATGATTTCCAGCATAATTTGGAACTGAACTGATGCTCCCCTGGAGCTAGTGGGTGAAGTACTATGGAGATACCCCCAGGACGTCTTAGCATCTCCACAATGGGCTCGCAGAGACCACAGGGCGATACTCTTCCTAGAAATCTGCTCGGCTCCTAAGTATCCATCACTCCCTTTGTCCAACAATAGCTGCTTGCATTCAAAATGGCTCACAGAAACTCCCTTCCTCCTTTTACCTAATACTTCAACATCTATCAAAGCTGAGGTACCAACACCACACATGTAGTAGGCACAGTGTCCCCTGCGATATCTCTAATCAGAAAACTGAGTCCTTGTGGCTTGTATAAGAAATCATCTTATTAATTATGAAAGTTCATGACTCAGTATTCAGCATTTATGGCAAATGAAGACCATCAGCAGTAAGATTTAGAAACTAAAAGGAAAGACAGACAACTTAACAAGAAAGCCAGATTTTCATAGAAGAGGGTCCCTATGTTCATTAAGAAGCTTTGAGCCAGGCATGTAGGTACACACCTGTAATTCTAGCACTCAGGAGGCTGAGGCAGGAGGATCGCTGAAAGTTCAAGGCCAGCCTGGGCTATATAGTGAGTTGAAGGCCAGCCTGAACGACATGGTGAGATCCTACCTCAAAAAACCTAAATAAATAAATAAATAAAATTTTTAAAAAGCTTTGAGCAGAAACTTAACAAAATAGTAAAAAAATAAGTTATTTAATTTATTCCTATTTTAGTATATGTGCTGGCTCTTTTAAGCTTCTTTGATCTCTCCAAATCCTCGATGAGGACATACTAATTCTGTAATTAGAAAAACAGTACATGTTATTTTTCAAAGCAGTGACCCCGATAAACCTATTTCCTTCTGCTAATTTGGAAATGTTGTGGTTGTGGTGTCTTCAGTAACCAAGAAACAGGATTGCTGGAAGATCACCTCTGAAGCTAAGCTCCTCTTTGTACCTCTGTTAAGTGCTGGTGGCCATGAAAGTGTCCTAAAACCCCGACACTGAGACTGAGCAGAAAGATCTCTGGGGAAACTGGTCCATAAAGGTAATGAATCCCCACAAATTTAAAGCCAGTTTAGAGAAACTTGAAAACTTCAGTTCTTCTGGCTTTCGAGCCATGAAGTAACCATGCTCACTTGGAAGACTGGCTTGAGAAATGAGGAGAGTAAGACAGGGTGAGCTCCAGGCAGCCCAGGCCAGAACGGTCATATCGTGTGCATATAAGGGCATGCGATTTCTTTTGACCAAATGCACCCTAGATGCCCTCCTGATTAGTTTCCATGCAGGTACACTCAGTCCTTCCAGATTCTCATTAGTCTCGACTGATAAGGGAAGGGAGATAAACAGCTGAGTGATGCCTATAGCTCCCTGTGACCTGGTGTCCTTGCTGGGTGCCACCAGCACTGAGCACAAGGAGCCTCCTCAGTGGCCTTGGTAAACAAAGCACTGCCTAGAATCGGGGGCTTGAGCCTCTCTGAGCTCCTGAGGTACGCAGCGGGGCTTGTGAAAACAACACTGTGGCCCATTCGTGTCTGCCCTGGAAGGAGCCATGACTATCTTCTTCCAGTCCCAGCGGCAATCTTGCCAGGCAGAGCTCCATAATGGAAGCAGCCACTCTGGGGACTCAGCCAAGTCAGAGCCAGGAGCCAATGCTCAAAGATAATCCTCTCCTGAAAACTCACTTCCCCACTCCACAGCCTTTGCTGAGATGCCACCCAGTGAAGGCTAGGGACGGCAGAGCCACGAGTGGTAAAGGAAAATGGTCCCAGGCATGTTCACGGCATGGTGGATCCAGATGAAACAAGATTTTGAGCTACTTTTCTTCTCCCCTGGGATCTCCAGTGCTCCTGAACACACCCTGCAATCAGGAACGGTGGGAACCTCAGCCTCGGGGGCATCTTTTCAGCACAAACTTCCTGTACACAAAGCCCACTCCTAAAAATCAAAGTCACGAAAGCCCGGAAAAGCACCACAAGGGAAGAAGGAAGACATCCCACTAACTAGCTGTGCGGTTTTAGGAAAACCACTTCCCTCCTCAGACCTGCTTTCCCATTTCTAAACTAAAACGTTGGGTGAGGTCATCTCTAAGTTCCTTCCTTTCAAACTATTGTCAGACCATTGCTATTTCATTCTCTTTAGCCACCCCCGCCCAGCCCTTTGTCCTTCCCAAGTTACCACCAACTGGTTCCCTCAACAAAAGTTCACCACCAAGTTATTTTCAATTACTACCCAATTACAGTCTCCCTGGGGTTGCACAATCTGCTTTCATAAAACTAATGAACAACTTTTTGATGCATGAGTGACCCTCTAAAATGCAGCATTAATTACTCCGCCTGCCAAATGGCCAGTTTAACCCCTTGGCTCTAGCACTACCCAGCAGGTAGTCCCCACCCCTTCTTCGCTGGATGGAGCCAGATCTGCCTGACAGCCTCCAGAAAGAGCTCCTCCTGGCCACAAGGTGCCCTTGCCATGTAACACCCCCTCTGGACCTCAGCGAACCAAGTGTACCTTTGTGGAAATGCTAACTTAGAAAGACTGGAGAATTCTACAACACACCGGTGAGAATCTCAATCACTTTGATGATGGTTTTGCAAAGCCCATTTGCTACATCCAGTGGGAATGAATTGCTATTCCACAGGAGTTGAGCAACTGTCACCCAGCTCCCATAAACAGAAGGGACTGGAGGAAGGAGCCCCACTAGGGCTGTGCTAGATGACTCAGCCTGACTGCTACACAACGGCTTGTGGCTGAGGCCCCTGCTCCCTTTACAGAGGGGAGACTGAGGCTCTTTGGGGTCTG